TGGGCGCTGCATTCCCATCCATGACCATCCCTGTGACATGCGTGTGCACACACGCGTGCGCGTGCACACACACTTGTGTTCTGCAGCCCTTTTTTGAGGAAAAGCCCTCACCGACCTCAGCGGGTCTTTTCGCCCATCCTGCGTGCCGGCAGGTAGATGTTTTGGGTTGCCAGACGTCCCACCGGAGGTCTCTGCCCGCAGTGGGGGGACCCAGTGATGGGGAGAGCTGCCTGGCCCATGCTGCCGGCGGGTAAAGCTTCCCTTGGGAAAGCCCCGGCGGGAGCAGGGTGAGCCACCGAGCATCACCAGGCGCCGGCACAGCCACCAGTGCGCCCCAATGCCTCGGCCAGCCTGGGGCTGACAAAAGCGACATGGCCCCGGGGGAGCCCCAAAAAAGCCATGAGGGCACGGGGACATGGCTGGGGCCCTGGCAGCCCTGGGGTAGGGACAGCCTGAACACCCTGGGACGAGGTGCTCCCCGGCTGGCCTTTGGGGCGTGCCGCTGGCAAGCCACGGGCTAAGCCCCCGGTTTGCCCCCCCAGCAGCCCCTCTCCCCTCCAGGCAAAGCAAGGCACAGGCATCCCCACGGTCCCCAGGGCGCGGGCAAGGCGTGCTCGTTGCTTCTTCCACAGCCCCCGCTGCACCTCGTCTGCTGGGCGGCTTATCGACCCACATTTGCCTCCCATTATTAAAAGGCGGCTTTTTCGATAAGCAATCGATTCCTAACGGAACCCTGATACTCATCTGTCAGAGAGCAGGTCCCACAGGGCAGGATCCTGCGGCCTGACCCAGCATGGGCATGTCGGATGGATTTTTTTTAATGCGTTGGTCAATAAAGTTCCATTTTCTCAGGCTGTGGAAGAATAAGCGGCCCGATTTGCTGCGTACAGACTACAGGGCCCTGGCAGTATTTCTGTAGCTGGTGCTGCTGTCCAGGGGGAGCTGATGGTTTGCTTAGGGTATGATGGGGGACTTCAGAAAATATTCCCATTTAATAATACAGAAAATAATTTGAGTTTTTGCCGAAGCGTCCCACAGTGAGGGAAAACCATGCCTCTCTGCTTCAGCCCTCATTAAACCAGATGTGCTGGTGCCCTGAGCTCTCCATATGCTGGTTTAAATCACGGATTTCAGCTATCGTTTGGCAATGAGCTTCCATTTCTGTAAGCGCTGTCCGAAGCGGCACATACACCCTTGCTGAGCTCTCAGGATGAAAACACGGCGTTTCTGGCCCAGCTGCGTTCCCTTCAGTCCGCATAGTAATTGCCAAACTGCCACTTCTGATAAGGATTTGTGGAGTCACAGGCGCTCACCCGCAGGGCTTTGGGAGCGGGATCCACTTCCAAGCACGCCGGCTGCTGGAGGTGCTCCGAGACGATGTGGTCTGCCTGCAGGGGGAGAGAGGGCGAGAGGGGGTGAGGAGGGTTTGGGGGCTCGGGCAGCAGCTGCTGCGAGGCACTCGATGTTTCCACTGGGGAAGTGTCATTCTTTACGGTGTGCCCTTTTTTTTTTGCATTTCCCTAATTCCTGACTTACAGGGGCTTTTGGGTGGGATCCAAAGCCCACGCCTGTTGCTGAGCCGGGATCCGACCGTACCTTCTGTGCCTGGTGGGTTTTTGTTCACTGGAAACGGAAAGATGAGTTCTCTCGCTGCCCAAGGGGTGATTACCATGCAAAGGCAACCAGTCCAGATGGCATCTGTGGCCCAGGGGACCGCGCGGCACGAGACCCACCTTGGCATTTCTCCGCTGAGGAGCTCAAAGCACACGTGCTGTGCCAAGAAGAACGTTAGGCAAGCCAGCGCTGACGTTCAATGCTGGGCAGTAAATTGGATGATGAGAGAATGATGAGCCTGATTCCACCCTTTGCTTTTCACATCTACCTGGCGGTATCTGCTCAACCCCTGTGGCCCGGAGGCGATGCTGCCAGAGCAGCCAAAGGTAGGGGACATTGCCGTGGCACTGCCTGGCACCGCAGTGTTTCGGAGGAGCGCCTGGTTAATACTGGGATGAAATGCTCCTGAAACAAGCTGTAGAGTGTTGGCTGGGAAAAAGTTGGCTCTCTGTGCGTGTAGTAAATGCCCTTCACATCACGAACACGACACCGTGACTGTGATGTGAGAAGGTAAAAGACTGTAACCCCTTCGGCCAGCGTTCACCGGCTGTTGAGCTGCTCCTCACACCTCCCATTGCTGGCACCAGTAAAGGCTGATGGAACCGTACTGACCGAGGCCGCGGGTCCCCAGGGAGCGCGCCAGTGCCCCTGCCTTCGGGGGGTCAGAGCCCGTCCCCTGCCACGGCCGGGAGCGGCTGCCCGTGCCCAGCCCCCTGTTCCGGCAGGGGCCACCGAATACATCGAACTCGCAGCTCGGGGCGAGCTCAGGCAGCAACAGGCAACAAAAACTGCCCACGCACTGGTAATGCTGCCCGGCTCCTCAGTGGGTGACAATTTTCATGTATTTCTCGCAACCCCCCTGCCCTTTGTGAGCCTCGGCACTGCCGCGCTCTGGCTCTGCAAGCTTTGTTTTTTCAGCCTAATGAGGAACAGGAGCTTGTCAATATGATGAGCATATAACCTAGCTACCGTTTTGCTCTCTTAAGAGCATTTCTTTCTTAAAAATAAAATAGGCCATTTCGTAGCATTTTGGACAACTGCTTACACCAGGCTGACCGAGATGGAGTCGGGACTGCTGCTTTTTGCGGTGCAGGTAATAAGTGTAAGTATCTGTTCTTTTCCTTTTCATAAATGCTCTCTGTTAAACCCCCCCGCGAGCTGGATGCCAATCAATATCAAGTAATCTCCGTGTAAGTGCTATCGACGGCTTCGATGTCAACCCGGGGCGGTTGGTTGCTGCCGTGCGGGCAGAGGGAGAGCCCCGCCGGGGCGAATGCCTGGGCACGACCCGCACCTCCCCGGCCCCCGGGGTCGGGGCAT